ATCCACATTTTATAACCTCCACGGTACCGCCCTATATTTGGTATTTTAATGATTTTAGCTACATTATAAAAAGATTTTTTTTTTCAAATTTCGCTTTTGAATATTGTAATAGCTTGTGACAAAAGTTGCCTATGCAGGTCCACGTCGTCGTATAGACTCTAATACAGGGTTGCCCATATTCGACGGACCCATCTGGCAACGCCATAACTTTTGACAGAGATGTCACATCGCTTAATGACATACCGCGTTTGAAGCGTCAGTCCAAGCAGATTTTTACCATGAACCAATACACATCACGCGAGCGCTCTGAAATAGTTGAAATTTACAAGAAGTCAATTGTAAAAACTCAACGTTCTTTTAAAACATTAAAAAATGTGAGAAGTGCGCCTTCTAAGAACACCATTAAGCGTTTATACGAAAAATATTCGACTGGTAAGGCTCTTTCTAATCCGAAGAGGCCATATAAAAGTCGACCAAGGCGATCGGCCGAGAATATCGCTGCCGTACGAGCCAGTGTTGAGAGGTCCCCAAGAACATCCCAAAAACGCCGTTCTCAGCAGTTGTGCATGGCTCGGTCCACTTTACAACGGATTATTCGCATTGATTTGCATTTGTTCCCGTACAAAATTCAATTGACCCAAAGAATGTTGCCTGCGGACAAGCCTCGTCGATTGGAATGGGTCATGGGTCCGTCGAATATGGGCAACCCTGTATACGTCTACATTAAGTATTTTCAAGATTTTAACAGAATTTTAAGGGATTTTATTTTTTTTTTTTTTAATTGTTAAATTTGTATCAAATGGTGGAGGGTATTCAAAGTTCGGCCTGAAATTACAGCTTTTTTAATTGTTTTAAATGCAATATTTTTTACAATATCGGGTTATTAAAAAAATCTGCGAATTTTGGATAATTCAATCAAAATTTTTTCAAGTTCAATTATTTAAATAATTTAACAAGAATTTCAAGGACAACCGTAATTTTTTAATGCATTTTTTAGGATAATCGTGGAAGTTTTTTTTTAAAGAATATATATATATATTTTTTTTTGAAATAATCGAGCCATTCTGTAAATGAGATTTTAAGAGATCTTTAGAATATTTTTCGGCCGTGGAAATTTTTATTTGGTTACTTAAAAAAATGCGAGTATTGGTTAGTTGAACAAATATTCTCTCGATAATAATTCTAACATTTATGAATTGTCCACGATTAAAATTCCAATAGTTTGTCAAAAATGTTTTAAAAACCAGGATTATAATTTCAATATTTCTTTAAGAAAGTCCGAGTTTATAGGTCTTTAAAGAAATGAAAAAAATAAATAATTAACATAGTATTTTAAAATGTTTTTGAAATATTTTGATTACAATATAAACGATTGAAATATCTTCCGTTTTATCGACAGGTGTATACCCTCAGCCAAGGTTCGTTTCTTTCAATGTTTTTATAATTTTTATACTCTCCACCAAAAAAAGTATGGAGGGTATATTAAGTTCGTCATTCCGTTTGTAACTCATCGAAATAATCATTTTAGACCCAACAAAGTATATATTCTTGATCAACGTAAAATTCTAAGACGATTTAGCCCTGTCCGTCTGTTGTAATCACGCTACAGTCTAAACGAATTAAGATAGGAAGCTAAAATTTTGCACAGATCTCTCTTTTGTCTGCAGGCAGGTCAAGTTCAAAGATGGGGTATATCGGTCCACGATATCGTATAGCCCCCATATAACGGTACCCCGCGATATTCGGTATTTTGATGATTTTAGCCACATTTTTCAATGGAATTATCTGAAAATCCACACAAGGAGTTCCTTGTGGGTACTTTATACTTCTACAGAGAATTATCTATATAGGTCCACGATATCGTATAGCCCCCATATAACGGTACCCCCGATATTTGGTATTTTGATGATTTTATCCACATTTTTCAATGGAATTTTCTGAAATTCCACAAAAGGAGTCCCTTGTGGGCATTTTACCCCTCAAAAAGAATTGTCTATATATTTCCACGATATCGTATATCCCCCATATAACTGTACCCCTCGATATTCGGTATTTTTATGATTTTACCCACATTTTTTATCGGAATTGTCTGAAAATCCACACAAGAAGTTCCTTGTGGGTGCTTTATACCTCGACAGAGAATTATCTATATAGGGCCACGATATCGTATAGCTCTGATATAACGGTACCCCCGATATTCGGTATTTTGGTGTTTTTAGCCATATTTTTCAACGGAATGGTCACAAGGGGTTCTTTGTGAGCACTTTACTCCCCGATAGAGAATTCTCTATATAGGTTAACGATAACGTATAGCCCCATTTATAACGGTACCCCGCGATATTCGGTATTTGGATGATTTTAGCCACATTTTCCAATGGTATTGTCTGAAATTCCACTCAAGGAGTTCCTTGTGAGTACCTTACCCCCTGAAAGAGAATTGTCCATATAGGTCCACGATATCGTTTATCTCCCATATAACGGTACTTCCCAAAAAATCGGTATTTTATGATTTTAGCCACACCCAGAGAAAAAATGACAACATCCGTGTATGAAATGACCACATCCGTGTATGATAGTGTATCAACCACGTTTGGTGTCAAAATGAGCACGCTGTTGTCATTTTGACACCGAGATTTTGGCAACGATTTCAACAACAGATGTGCATGAAATGAGCACATACGTGGTCATTTCGAGCACGCCCCGTTGTCAGATTGTCAACGCTTCGTTGTCAGATCGTCAACGCTTCGTTGTCAGATTGTCAACGCTCCGTTGTCGGATTGTCAACGCCCGTTGTCAGATTGAAATCAATGGTGGTCATTTTTTGATATCCGTTCCTTTTCCATTTTATACCCTTAGTAGAAGAAACGACATTTTTTGAAAAGTATTTTATTGAACGAAACCAATTACATAAATTCAATATAAATACATATTTGATTTAACAAAACAATTCGAATTACATATATTCAATGTATAGAAACAAATTAAATTAACTTAAATCTGAAATAAACTTTTCCATTATTCATAGGATATAAGTGAAATGGGTAAGTAATAAAATCTAAAATTGGTATTAAAAAAATTGTATCCTCATTCAGAGAACCAACTTCATACGATTGTAAATGGTAATCAAAGTTTTTAACTTTTACTTGGTTACATAAAATGTAAACATTTTCATTTTCAATTATTAAATGTTTAATTTTGAAAAGTTCAATTGCGGCATTATTTGTTGCTAAATAATAGTTTTTTTTATACCTAGTTCCCTTAAAAAAAATGTCATCAGACACTTTGCAATTTTGGTAATTTAAAACTGGCTTACTTTTTTTGTAACAATATTCCTCTTTTGCCAAATCTTCGATGGTATGCGTATTAATGATAACATTTGGTTCTAAGTTATCTTCGTGTTTTAATAAAAAATTGGAAAATTTCAATCCAGACTTAATAGATAATGAACGACAGGGATTTACTCTTGATGTAGTATTTCCTAAATAGGCTTTTGCTTCCTTGTGTTTAGCTTCGAATCTCATGCTCCAGAGATATTTAAGGGGACCACATTTTCGGATAGCTGTGGGATAGTGGACAAGAAAGTGGTGTTTCGGTTTTAACGAACCGTATAATGTTATATAAAGTGAATGGTGATCTCTAATTAATTCTTCCAATTTTATTAAATCGTCTTCTATATAACTTGGTCTTAAAAGTAAATCGATTATTTGTAATAATATTATAAAAACTTTCCAGTGATCGTTGGAGAAAGGAATTAAATCGCCTACCATTAAAGGTAAAAAATTAGTAAAACACATAGTTTCACTAGCTGTCATTTTTAAGTTATAGTTTTTCAATCTACATAAATCTAGTGGTCCAGATTTATTTCCCACTTCAATTTCTCCAAATTGGAATAAAGATTTTCTGCTGTTAATACAATCTAACGTAACAATATTTTCTTGAATCAGCCCGAGAATTACATTAGACATATCGTAGACACATATGCCCTCGAAAATGTCATGCATAATATCAAAACAAAAATTTTCAGTGACGTTAAAATTTGGTAAAGATTCGAAGATACACTTGTTTTTAATACCTGTTTCTTGAAAATTATTTTCCAATACATTTGAGTTGTAATTCTCTTGGTTTCTTAAACTATCTAAATGCTGAATTGCGTCGAATTGCATTTGGGACTTTTTTCTTCTACATACCCGGCAAAATCTTTTAGAGTTAAATGATTGCACGTAGCCTAAAATACTATTAACTGCTAAATTATCTCCAATAATTACACCTAAAATAAAATGCACCTTCTGAACACTTTGTTGAACACAAATTTCAACCCCTTCTTCTAGAATTTTTAACTCTTCTACAAGATTGTGAAATGAAACTTCATTTCCACGTTCTTTTAAATCCTTTGATGGTATAAACGCAGCAGTTAATATATAATCAAGTTTTGACAACAAGTGCTGTGGCATTGAAGGAAAGCTAATATAACAACCACATATGGAAAATGTATGGGTTCCAAGAGGATTATTAATTTGAAAATCATCCATGTAAAGGACATAGGGAATAACTAAATTGTACTGATATTTTAATAATTTAGTTTTATATAACTCACCGTTTGTAAAATTTTGTAAAACAGGTGAATTTAGGAATTTTTTGGAGTTTTCTAATGTCAAATCTAAGAGATTTGGAATTTTAAAAAGGGCACTTATCATGAATTTCAGTGGCATTATATAAATATTGGATAACTTTGGACCTAAACTGGGATTTCCGCTGATAACAATTTCCGAGACTTGATTGCTAATTACATAAACCTTTGGATCATCATAAAAGTTTAGTTCTTTTAAAATTTTTAAAAGTCTATATTCCGTTCTAGTTTCTTCGAAAGGATTTTTACAAAAGTTTAGTAAGTACCTTAAGTCTTCATAATTTGGATGATCAGTTATATATTTTTCAATTGTACATGAAATGGATGAAAGCAGAATTGAAACAGAATGTTGTATTTCTATAACATGATTTCTAGGCATATAGCTTTGACCATGTAATTGTAAAGACAGATATAAGGTTTTCTTTTTCAAAACATTTAAATCCTTTTCTATTGTATTGTTGTTAATAACAGTTTCACTGTTTGTATAATCATTTTCTTTTGATGATGACATTTCAACTGGCACATTAATGGCTTTAACCATTGGTGGAGCTTTTGTGTGATTCTTGTGAAGTTTTTCTAAATGAATTCTGAATGACGTAAATTTTGTAAATGTTTGCTTACAGTTGTCCTGAACGCATTGTACTTTTAAAAATTTAGTGGACATTAAATGGTCTGTTTTCAAATGAGCTATTAAAAGATTTGCCTTATCAAAATGCTTACGGCAACGAAAGCAAATATACATTTTGAATTGTACTTTAATTATTGTTGCAGAAATTAATAAGTGAAGTCAAATTAACTGATTTTATATCATATACAGTATTAATTTCATAAAAATATTTTTGGATAAAAATCCATGGAATTTGGCAGGCATTTGGATATTTTAAAGAAAGTGCATGAAAAATTTTAAAACATGTATCTAAACATTCGAGGAACGATTGAAATTTTAACAAATTGTGGTTAAAAAAAACATAAAAACCTTTTATATTGAAATCGGACAAACCCTCCACAATTATAAATGGCTGTATAGTTAATCCAGCATTGTAATACTTTTCAGTGACTGTATCAATTTGCCTTTTATAATCGTTAATTGTCGGTAGTCGCAGTACGAAACTTTCCTGCGAATCAGCTATTGTTACTTTTTTTCGTAATTTACCGTTTCCACATTTAAACCTAGCAGGTGATGGTAAAACTGAATTCAACAGTATTGCGTATATATAATCTTGAGCATCTGCAACCGAAATATAAAATAAATATTACTTTTAATGTTTATGATAAATCAGGAATTAAAATTTACCTATGCTGCTTGCCGTCAAAACATTTGCGAAGAGTTGTTTGCAATGTTCGTTATGAATATTTTTCCCATAATAATTGTAAATTTTTTTCTTAAATTGGTCCCATTTAGAAAGTAGAAGATTGCCTTTCTGTGGATACATAATATCGAAATCAATGTTGACCTAAAACGAAACATTAGTATCCATATACAAATAAATAGCTCATGGCTACTTACCAATTCTGAAGCTCTTGCATCGGACAACTTCGTCCATTCAAGGAGAAATGTATGGCTACTTAAATTTTTTATATCTCTTTGCCGTATGTTAAAAGATCTTTTCCATTTTTCGCAGATCGATCCCCAATCATTACATTCTCTTAGTAAGGAAGCTTTCAATGAATTTTCAACTGATTCATCAATTTCGGGAACATCTTTGTTACAAAAATTAGGAGATGTGTGAGTTGCTGCTTTGCTTGTGCTAGGCTCGGAAATCAAAAGCTTTATTCTTTTGGACTTCTTGTTTCTATACTTGGCATAAAGTTTTCCGCTTGCGTTGTTCTTTCCTTTTCTTGAAATGTAATAATAATCCTAAAAATAAAGACATATTATAAGTTAAGAAACTACATAATCAGATACGTTGTTTATATTGTTAATCTTACCCTCATTTCGTTTTCAAGAGGAAAAACGGAACAAATTTCATCCAATATGCGCATATAGTCTTGAGTGTAAAGAGTAACATTGTTGGTTAAAATATCTTCAATAATTATATTAATTATATCATCTCTTTGCTCGTCACTTAATTTCTTATTAACGCTACTACATTCAAGCGCTAGTTTCCCCTTCGAGGTATGTGTTAACAATTCCGTTAGATCCTATATTAAATAAAAAAACTACATTAACTATGCTTACACAAATATTACTCTTACCTTACCTCTGACAAAATTCCTTTGGCTTTTGAGCAGTTCGAACCTGTAGTGTCGGGAGTACCAGGAGTACTTGCAGGTGTCTCGTTGCGTTTCCACCATTCACCTATTTTAGATGGAACTGACATAGTTTCGTCATCAATCCCGAGCTATTGTTATGACAATATTAATACTGAGTTCAACTCTGTAAAACAAATAATACGTACCTTTCGTTTTTTCCAAGCAAAGAGCTTTTCTCTGAATTCAACACGCAGTCCCAATGGTGGCACTGCTTCCTTTAAATCTTCTTTTTTCAAGTACTGCAAGCTGCGAAATGTTACATGTGATGCTAAAAGAACAAAAAAGAAAATTCTTTGTTAATTACACTGATTAACTGAAAAATTCATTTTTATTTACTTACCTTTTAATTGTTCAAAAAGCGACTCCATATTTATTCCTTTTAAGAACTCCCTTAACATATAATCGTCCTCATTGTTTTCCGCATCTTGACTGCTGCAATGGTTTGTATCGCGAACCACAACAATATTGCCATCGATTTCTAACAACTCACCAATGATATTTTGAGGATCTTGCGAATTATTATTCATTTTCAATAAATTTTTTGCACAATGCGTCCTTTCTCTTTCAATAACACGGAAAAAATGGTAAATATGCAGCCGATTGCACACGAGTAAAAAAAATGACAACGGTGGTGCATGATTCATACACGGTAGTTGCTAAAATGGCAACGATCGTGTACGATTCATGCACGTCGGTGTACAAAGTAACAACGGTGGTGCATCATTATGCAGGTGGTGGTGCATAATTCATACACGACCGGTGTCATATTGACAACGACCGTGTGTGAATCATGCACCACCGTTGTCATTTTTTACTCGTGTGTAATCGGCTGCAATTACCAATATTACAAATGGACAAATTAAGCACGGCTGTTGTTGGTACCGAAAGTTGACCACGTCTCGGTGTCAATTTGAGCACGTTCGTGCACAATTCACCAACAGCCGTTGTTGAAAAATATAACAACGGGTCGTTGCGAAAATGACAACATACGTGCTTGATTTCGCAACGGGATTTTTCCCTCAGTGCACATTTTTCAACGGAATTGTCTGAAATTCCACAAAAGGAGTCCCTTCTGAGTATATTACCCCCAGACAAAGATTTGTCTATATAGGTTCACAATATCGTATATCGCCATATATCGGCACCTTCCGATATTAGGTATTTTAAAGATTTTAACTGAATTTTTAATGGATTTTATTTATTTTTTTTTTTTTTGAAAATTTTCTAATTCCTTTCAAATGGTGGAGGGTATTCAAAGTTCGGCCCGACCGAACTTACTGCTTTTTAACTTATTAATAATATTTTTGCTTCTTCATATTATTGCTTCTCCATATTATAATAGCCTAACGGATTCCATTGTGCGCTGGAAAAAAAGCCCTCACTTTGTAATCATTTTTGGGTGGCGCGTGCCGAGTGCGATGGTGCTGAGTCCTGTTGGAAGGTCCAAGGTCTGGGGCCAAAATGTTTGCGTGCCCAAGGCACCCTCCAGAATATTTTCGCGATGATATTCGGCATTTATTCTGATGCCACGGTCGATAAATACGTTCGGAGAGCGATCATCATCATGGCCGGCGCTTGAGTTCTGGTAGCCAACCGAAGGTGCACATTTTCAGCTGACCTCTTTGTCATGTAAACACGATCATTTTGTTGGTTTAAAAACTGCTGGACAACGAATGTTTTCTCATAGGCATTTCACCACTTTCGATCAAGCGAAGCAACTCTTTAGCTCTTTTGAATCTATTTTCTTTCTGTTGCGGTGTAAGTTCTTGCACTTTTTGGAATTTCAATGGCTTTACCCCGAGCTCATTTTTCAATATTTGCCGAATGGAATATTGCTATACGTTCAGCTCACGAGCCATATTTCGGTCACTGCGACGCGGATTTCGATCAAGTCGCTTCTTTACTTTTCGAACCATTTCTGCTGATGTTTCTTTTTTCTGGCGTCCACTTCCTTGACGTCGGGCTACGCTACCAGTATCACGGCAAAGAGCGATGGTACGAGACACAAACGATTTATTCACATTTAAATGCTGGATTGCTCTAACAATAGCCACTTGTGGTTTTCCGGCCAAATATAAAGAAATCACACTACCACGCTTGAATACCATCACGAATAACTTTTTTTCTGGAAAATTCTCACTAAAATGCTTTTGTACGCTTGTAAACAATATAATGAGCTGCCACTGGAATAATTTTAACAGCTGTCGGACGAGTGGCTTAGAAATGACAGCAGTCTGAAGTTGGTTGCAGTTTTCTCTTCTCACCCTGTATGTGTGAAATATAAAAAGAAGACATGATGCATGTTTTTGGGTATTCGAAACTTTGAATCTTTGTGGGCGAGTCACCAAAAGGAATGGACCGATCCCTGCCGTCTTTATAACAGATCCTGTGTTGATAGAAATATTCAGATGTGCAGGTCTAAATGGAATCGGATGTTAATTTCGCATTTTATAAGCTTAATGGATATTCAAAATTTCGACCCTTTGTGGGGTAGATACCAGAAGGAGTGGACCGATATATTCCGCCTTACGACCTGATTTTGGGTTTATTAAAATAGTGGGGTGTGTAAAATTTGGACTCTTACATCACATTTTGTAATAATTATAATTATTCAAAATGTTGACCCTTAGTAGGGGAGGTACTTGATGGAGTGGACCGATGTTGTCCATTCTCGCACCTGACCTATCACAGATGAACATATTAGGATTTACAAAGTTGAAGCAAAATCGGATTATCTTTTCTCTTTCTGTGCAAAAATATATTTTTGGAAAATTTCGACAGAAGTGGGCCGATGTAGTCCATCTCCCAACTCGATCTAAGCTTGTCAAAAACATTACGATGTACCAGCTCATGAGTCCGCACCAGCTAGACAGACAGACGGACGCACGGACATCGCTAGATCGATTCCAAATATTCTGAAACGGATTTGGTCCAAAGAGACCTAGGGTCTAACACCGTTATTTCGACTAGGCACGTTTTCACCCTTTCTAGCCTTATGGCTGAGGGTATAACAAGCAAACAAGCTATAAAATTCTGTTAATTATACCCTACAACACAATGTGTTGGGGGTATTATAAGTTTGATTGGGCCAGCATTTATGTAACACCTCGAAATATTGGTTTCCCATATAGGAAAGTATATATGGATCTTCCTAGCTCGCCGAGCTGAGTCGATCTAGCTATGTATGTCCGTCCGTCCGTCTGTCCGTCTGTCCGTCTGTCCATGTTAATTTGTAATCACTCTACAGGTCGCAATTATGGCCCGATCGTCACGAAATTTAGAATGGAGGTGGGGCTAGGGTCAGAATAGAACCCTATTTCTTTTGGAGATGATCGCATAATATTTAGGGGTCGAAATGGACCAAATACTGAAAAAATGTCGGATTTTGCAGTAGCTATACAGGTCGCAATTATAGACCAATCGACGCGGAACTTCGCATGTAGCTAGAGTTTAGGGCGGGGAAGAAGCCTACCAATTTGGGTGGTCATCGGATAATATTTAGCGGGTAAAATAGACTATATCTTTTCTGTTGAAAAAATTCAAAATTTTCCATTAAACCGCGAATATTTTAAATCCCGGCGAAATCACAAAGCCATGACAAGGTTACTCCTGATCTTTACATTGATGTTAACATCCAACAAAACGGATATATAGCAAAATATGTGCGATATATATGTCTATCAAAGAAGATATGCTTGAAAGATCTCTTATATGTCGAGAACGGCTGAACTGATTTCGACAGTTCTCATTAATTCAGAATGGCCTCTTGGCAGGAAACAAAAAAAGTCTAAAAAAATCGCATAAAAATATCTCTCTAAAGATGAAAATATTGATTTTGTAAAATTTTCTCATATTTTTTCAATTTTGTCATATTTTTGGCATATTTTCATTTTGAATTAAACATTTGGTAATATTTCTAGAGCTAACAAAACTAAGTAGTTAGGATATCAGGATATCATATACAGATCGCATGTATGGCCCAATTCTTACGAAATTTTGCATGGGGATAAGATGAGGGTCAGAATAGAAGCCTACTCTTTTTGGAGATGATCGCCATATATTTAGGGGTTGAAATGGACCAAAAAACTTCATAATTGTCCGCAGGTCGTAATTATCTCCCGATCCTCATGCAGTTTCGGATGGCCATCCAAAAATATTCAATGTGTGAAATAGTTTGCCAACTTTTGTAGACTAAATACGAAAATGTCCATTCCAGTGACTTTTTGGAGAATTCACAAATACAGGAAAGACGCACTTCTGACTATTTCGTTAACGCTGACTTCGTTGAAGAATATAGTCAAATGTCTGTATCTCATATAGATGCGTTTTAGTCAAAAACCAATAATAAATGTTAATCTTTTGCCACTTCTGAGAGATTATAGATCTTTGGGAAATATTGGTTCCAGATCTAGGAAGACCATTTACGTGCAACATCTACCAATAAATTGGAAATGAGCAAATTAGTTTAAGTTGCTATTATTCGAAAATTAGAGAACGAAACCTGATGGTTTTCTTTTATTATTTGTCACAATATCTTGTGGAATTCTGTCGAGTATTTCGCCTATATAAACTGTATGGTTTATTATAGTGTTGTAGGGTATTAAATGGTCGGCCCCGCTCGACTGTAGCCTTTGCTTACTTGTTAAAAATACCGAATGTAGCCGTTATATCAGGGTCTATACGAAGAAGTGAACCTGCATAGGCAACTTTTTTTTGTCATAAGCCATTACAATATTCAGTTGCGAAACTTGAATAAAAAATATATCGGTAAATATTGTAGCTAAAATCATTAAAATACCGAATATTGGGGGTACCGTTATATTGGACCTGCACAGACAATTTTCTGTCATAGGCTGTAGTATCCATTGCGAATTTCAAATACCAAATTTGAAACATTGCCGGTGAATAATGTCGCTGCCAAAACGTGAACGTACATAACCTTTTTTAGTACCGAAAGTCCTGCAGACGTAATACAAATTTGAGTAAAATTTTATCAATCTACTTCTTTTCGTTCCACGATAATTGGCCAATACTATTAAGAATCCCAAAAAATTCCTAAAAATTAAAAACCATATATTTTTGAAAATAGTGCACGATGTGCACGAAAAGTGTGCACGATTATTTATTCTTGGGAATCCATAAAAACCTCTGTAGAAAACACACGACTGATATGGGTTTTTATAGTTCTTAAAAAAATTCAAATTGGGCTTGGCTTTAGAACATCAATTACCGGTTTGGACTGCCAGTGAAAAATATATTTTTAAATAAATATGTAGTCTTTAAAAATATATTCTTCAAGAAAGAAAATATCCTTAAAAAATTCACGTCCTGGAAAAATCCGCATTTGGATTGTATTTGAAAAAATAATCTTTAAAAGATCCTTGGTCGTTTACAAAATATTCATTGCAAAAATCACTTTCGGAGGGTCCTTAAATATTTGGACCATTTGGAAATATGGTTGAAAATATCCCTTTTTGAATCTCTCTGAAAAGATATTCTTTGAAAACTCAACGTTTGCATGCTGATTGAAAAATGTTTGTTAAAGTCCTTGCCAATATATTCTTTTTGAAAGAAAATGAAATCTGAGGGTCTTTTTCTTTGAAAAGATGCCATAAAAAACATATATCCTTTAATCTTTTTTACAAAAATTAAATATTAATTTAAAATTTTCCGAGTTTAATGGTCCTTGAAAAAATAATCTTTAACACATTTTGAGTGTGGACAACCCTGAAAAAATTTATTTTAAAAATCGACATTTGGTTGGTCGTTAAAAAAATATTTTATTTAAAAATTCACATTAGGATGATCCTTCAAAAAATACTCTTGAAAAATATTCCTTAAAATATTAACGATTAGAAGTCCTCAAATAAACTCAATGCCAATTGTCTATCTCTCAATATGGAAATCTTCAATTACCTCCCTGGTGTCCTTGCTGTCGTTTTGAACTTCCAGCGTGTTTGTCTTTGTTTTTGAATATTTCCCCTTAAGATAAAGTCAGAAACCTCCC